ACCCATCATCTGTTTCTCTGTTATGGTGTGTCTACTGTTCTTTATATATATATATATATATATATATATATATATATATATATGTAATATTCTCCCTTTTCTTGATTTATTTTTCTATTTACTGCAGTTGTACATGACCCAAAATAACTATTCTAGAATCCTAAATCATGAATTTCTGATTTCAGTGTTCACCACCAACTATTGGGTCGTCGGGAAAGTCATGACGTATTTTTCTATGTTTTTCAATGCAAAAATGTGTCATGACTTTCCTGACGACCCAATAGTTTAGTTTCTTAGGTTCCTGAATTTCTGAGCAAAAGTTTGACTGGTCTAGTTCATCCGAAGCTAAGTCATAGTGATGAATAACTGGCAAGCTCATGAATTATTTTGGGGATGTATATTTACTTCTGTGAAATTAGCTTCATCTGTTAGTTTACTTATTGGCTTCTAACATAGGATAGTAATCTCTCTGATAGCAAGATCTTATCTTTCTTCTCACTGCTTATATCCAGGACTGGGTACTTAGAAATAGCATTTAACAGGCACTTGGCAAATATTTGCTAAATGGCTGATTGAATTGAATGAGGCATTCATTTAGGAAATTTAGGTTGGATAGCCATCTTAAATTTCCTTTAGCCTCTGTTTAGAATCTTTTTTGCCTGTTAACATACATTTTATTTTTAAATTTTAGAAGTTTTCTCAACCTATAGAATGGTCTGTTTATACTACCTTAAACGTCTTTTGATTACTAGAAAGACTATCCCGATTTGTCCTTGTAATCATAAACAGATTATTGCCTTATTTGGTTGTTTTTCTAAAATAAAAGAATTGTAAATTTTGAAAAAATAAGCATTTAGAGAAACATTACTGATCCTTTTTGAAAACTTTTTTTTTTCTGAAGTAATGAGCTTTCCTTTTAACATGACAGACAAACAAATCCTCTTTATTTACTAGATAGTAGGTATTTTGATGTAAATTACTTTTGAGGTTCTTGGGTTATCTTTTAGGGTAGGAAAGTTCTCAAAATATTGTTGGGAACAGTTATTAGGGGGCATAATCCTTTCATTGCAGAGAGATCCAGTTTACTTATAGGTAATAGAATAGATATTTCTTGAATCTGAGGATCTGAAATAACTTGGTTTAGATATATAGGAATTAAAAAAAATTTAATTCTTTGTGGTATAATATTTCTTTCATAGATCTATTTATATTAATTTGTTTTATTGAATTTTTACATGATTTTTATAGAGATTCTAAAAATTGTATGATGTTTGATATTCCTACCACTTTATGTTTTAGAATGTGCCCATTTACTTTTGGCCCACAACGCTCCAGTAAAGGTGAAAAATGCTCAGGGATGGAGCCCGCTGGCAGAAGCCATCAGCTATGGAGACAGACAGATGAGTAAGGAAAATAAATTACTGTTGTTGATATAGAGTAAAAATACAAAGTAATGCATTTGAAATGTTTTTCATTTAGTGTAACTTTCCACACTATGAAAAGTTTGTAGTTATTTATGAATATATATTAATTATTCATAACTTAGGAACCTGAGCATTGGGTAGTACACAAAAAAATGGAGGAATTATATTTAAAACTATGTTCTTTATTATTTTTTTCTCCTTTTACAGCATTCTGCCTTACTGGTATTCTTTGATTTTTGTTGTTGTTGTGTATTCAAAATGAAGGACTTTTTAAAAAACATTGAGGCATGACTGTCCTTTCTGGCAAGCGCTTAATTTTTTGAAAGATTAATTGGAAATGAAAATAATCACAGTTTGTTAATAACAGTTATTTATCTGCTTAAATTGCTGGGCATAGGTTTTGCTGAAAACATGGAACAAGTCAGTCTCTGTTTTTGTTTTAGTCTTAAATTAGAATTTTCAAAAGAAGTCACATTGTTTTTTCATAATATGTAGAGTGTCCAGTTTTTTCACTTCCCTCCTACACCTAATTTTTTTTTTCCAGTTTCATATACAGGCCTTATTTTTGTCAAGCACATCTCAATAATTGAAAATTTTATAAAATTTAAGTCTGGATGAATAAGAATATTGTCTTTCTGGTAACACTATCTTTTTACACTGTGAGGCTGAAAATTATCACTTAAATCTAGCTTTGTGAAAAGAATTATAAAAAAATTGGCTGTTTTATTAAAGAAATCAACATTGAACACTCCCAGGATGTTACAAAGATTTAGTTTTATTTTTGATGCTAAGTTTTAGGCTTCTACGGGCTATTTCTTATGTTTTAGCTTTACATGTAATCTACATATTATATTTTTGTGGAGAACACGTTGGGCAATAGTTTTTTGGTTTTTTTTTTAAGATTTTTATTAAAATATAGCTAACCTACAATATTATATTAGTTTCAGGGATACACCATAGTTACTCAACATTTGTATTACCTGAAGAAGTGAGCACCGTGATAAGTCCAGCAACCATCTGATACCATACTATGCTATCACAGTATTATTGACTATATTCCCTATGCTGTGCATTATATCCCCATGACTTATTTGTTTTATACCTGGAAATTCGAACCTCTTATTCCCCTTTACCTTTTTTTAATTTTTCAATTACAGTTGACATTTAGTATTATTTTATATTAATTTCAGGTATACAGCATATGGTTAGACATTTATATAATTTACAAAGTGATGCCGCTGATTAGTCTAGTTGGTACTATGCAATGTTATTACAATATTATTGACCATATTCCCTATGCTTTCCTTTACATCCCCATGACTATTTTGTAACTATCAGTTAACTTCACTTTTTTCACCCTGCCCCCGTAACCCTCCCAACTGGCAATCATCAGCATCTCTCTGCATCTATGAGTCTGTTTCTGTTTTGTTTGTTCTTTAAATTCCACATATAAGTGAGATCCTATATTTGTCTTTCTCTGTGTAACTTATTTTACTTAGCATAATACCTTCCAGGTCTATCCATGTTGTCACAATAGTATGATTTCATTCTTTTTTATGGCTGAGTAATATTCCATTGTATATATGTACCACAATTTGTTTATTCAGTCATGTATTGATGGGCACTTAGGTTGCTTCTGTATTTTGGCTATTGTAAATAATGCTGCGTGAACGTAGGGATGCATAGATCTTTTCGAATTAGTGTTTTGGATTTCTTCAAATAAATACCCAGAAGTGGAATTGCTGGGTCATATGATAGTTTATTTTTAATTTATTGAGGAACCTCCATACTGTTTCCATAGTGGTTGCAACAATTTGCAATTCCACAAACAATGCACGAAGGTTCCCTTTTCTCCACATTGTTGCTAACACTTGTTTTTTGATTTATTATTGATAGCCATTCTGACAGGTGTGAGGTGATAGCTCATTGTAGTATTTATTTGCATTTCTCTGATGATTAATAACCTCTTTTCATATGTCTATTGGCCATCTTTATGTCCTCTGTGGAGAAATGTCTATTTGTGTCCTCTGCCAATTTGTTAATTGGTTGTTAGTTTTTTGGGGGGTTGTGTGACTTCGTTATAAATTTTGGATATTAACCCCTTATTGGATGTATCATTGCCCAGTATCTTCTCCTATTTGGTAGGTTGTCTTTTCGGGGTTTTTTAAAGATTTTATTGGGGAATTGGGGGAGGGGAACAGTGTTGGGGAATCGGGGAAAGGGAACAGACAAGTTGCTGTCCTTTTGTTCTTCAGTCTAGTTGTGGAGAACAATAACATCACCTCACTGGCCCATGTTGGTATTAATCATTGTACTCTTCCCCAGTGAGGCAGTTGCTGGCCCGCCATTGGATGGCCACTCAAGGCGGCCCATGGCAGCTCATGAAAACTCATGCCCTCTGCTGGCCAGCCCCAATGCAGCCTACACCGTTGCCAGCGACTCACGGCAGCTCAGCTCCAGGTCAAGCTGTTGTTCACCATCTTAGCTGTAGAGGGCGCAGCATCACTGGCCCTCATGTGGGATCTGAACCTGCGGCCCTGCTGCTCAGAGCTAGTGTCCCAAGCCAACTCTTAACCAACGTGCCACTCGGCTGGCCCGTCTTTTCGTTTTTTTTATGGTTCCCTTTGCTGTGCACAAACTTTTTCATTTGATGTAATCCTGTTTGTTTATTTTTTCTTTTCTTTCCCTTGCCTATGGAAATATATCAGAAAAAAAAATATTGCTAAGAGCAATGTGAGAGAGTTTACTGCGTATGTTTTCTTCTAGGAGTTTTATGGTTTTGGGTCTTGCATTTAAGTTTTAATCCATTTTGAGTTTGTTCTTGAATATGGTGTGAGAAGGTGGTCTAGTTTCATTTATTTTGCATGTATCTGTTCAGTTTTCCCAGCACAATTTATTGAAATGACTTTCTTTTCCTCATTATATATTCTTATCTCCTTTGGCATAGGTTACTTGAACATATAGGCATGGGTTCATTTCTGGGCTCTCTGTTCTGTTCCATTGATCTATGTGTCTGTTTTTATGCCAGTGCCATGCTGTTTTGATTACTGTAGCCTTGTAGTATAGGTTGATATCAGGTATTGTGATACCTCCAACTTTGTTTTCTTTCTCAAGTTGCCATGGCCATTTGGAGTCTTTTATGGTCCCATATAAATTTTAGGATCACTTGTTCTAGTTTTGTGAAAAATGCTATAGGTATTTTGATAGAGATTGAATTGAATTTACAATTGCATTTCTTTGGGTAGCATGGGCAGTCTTCATTTCAGTTATTGTACTCTTCATTTCTGACTGGTTGTTTTTTATGGTTTCTATGTCCTTTTTTATGCTTACCATCTCTTTGTTCTTACTAAGTTCTCTAAGCATCCCGTAACCAGTGTTTTGAACTCTGTATCTGGTAGATTGCTTAACTTCATTTTGTTTGGTTCTTTTTCCAGAGTTTTCTCCTGTTCTTTCATTTGGGACATGTTTCTTTGTCTCCTCATTTTGGCTGCCTCTCGTGTTTGTTTCTATGTATTAGGTAGGGCTGCTCCCAGTCTTGGCTGCTGGGTGGGCTTATGTAGTAGGTGTCCTGTGGGGCCCAATGGCACAGTCTCTCTGGTCCCTGAGCTGTATACTTCAGGAGTGTCCCTTGTGTAGGTTGTCTGTGCTCTCCTGTTGTAATTTAGCTTTGATTGCTGTAAGCACTTCAGTGGGTGAGATTGACCCTCAGGCTTACTTGCTGTGAGGATTGGTCATGACCACAGCGTCTGAGCTGCTGTGCGGGGCTGACCCCACAGAGCGGGATTCTCCCCAGCGGGCTCTGGTTCTGACGAGACCGCTCTTTGGATGTACTGCTTGCATAGCTAATTGTGTGTTGTTCCATTGTGGTCTGAAGCTGGCCACCAGGTGTACTGGTTCTGGGGCCTCTTTGGAGGGGCTCTTGTGCAGGCCAAGGTCAGCTGTTGCCAGTGACTGGTCTGGGGCTACCTGCTAGGTAGGAGCTATAAAGTTATCTGCAGTTCCTCAACTCCTGGAGTAGATTAACTTCTCATACATTTTGAAGTGGTCCACTCTTTTCCTTTACAGTACTCAGCACACTTCTAATTAATTGTTCACTATCTGCTCCCTACTCTGTACCTTGATGATGGAAGCTTTGTGAGGACTCAAGTCATGTATAGGTTATCTTATTCATCCTTTTATCTCTGCCTCCTAGAACAATGTCTGGCACATATATTTATTGTATGCCTTTATTTCTTTCCTTCTCTCCTTTCTTTCTCATTCTTTCTCTTTTTCTTCTTCTGCTTCTGTATTCCACATAAGGCTTGAAATAATTTGTAAGAATGCATACTGTAAAATAGAAAAAAACAGTATTTTTACATATCTATGTATATATGTATATGAAAAAGTATGTCAGGACCAGGAGGAATGTCAGCATGTATTGATGTATACATTTTTTCTCTCTCAATGCACATTGTTCCATCTTCTTATCTTTTGCTAGGCTTACTTCACTCAAGACTAATATTTTCCCTTATTTCAGTAAATGTTAGGGACTGACAATTTTTCTAGTCAGTTTTAGACCTTCATTCTAATAGATAAAAATTATATTTACTTAATTGTAGGCACAGTAGTAAGCAATTTATATTGAGGCTTTACAGTTCCTCTGTACGGTAGATATGACTTTTTACTTGACAAATGAAAAAAATAGAAACTTTAAGTTTGGGGAAATTTAGTAACTTGTCCAAGTTTATACACAGCTAATAAAGGAGTAAAGCTGGGCTTTGCACTTAGAACAGTGTTTAAATCTCCATCTCTTAACTCTTGAGAAAACATTAAGGTCTTCAGGTTTTATTAGAGTTAGAAGTTATTTACACAGATAGAATAGCATTCACTTTTGTATTTTTTTCCATATTAATAGTATGTGAGGATACAAGCTCTAGTGAAAAAAGAACAGGTATACCTGGTAACAATTGCAGATAATTACGTTTTTAGAAAAGCAGTAGCCAATGGGATTTTTGAGATCTGCTGTCTTTGAGGTCTTTTAGATCAGTGTAAAACAGGTCATTGCATCACCTGACTGAGATTGGTAGATCTTGACTCAGTCAGGTACACTCATACCGATAATTAAAAACTAGGAAAACGAGCATGAATATAAATTGATTTTTAATTAGGTATCTCATCACTTTCTTGGTATCGTAATAGTTTTACTAAACTTATTTACTAGCTTATTCACAATATATCTCTCTCTCTCAGTGTATCTGTATAATAAGCCAGTGGGGTTTTCTAGCATGGTGATATCTATTTTAAATTTTTTTTTTTTTCATTTAAACTTTAGTTACAGCTCTTTTAAGGAAGCTTAAACAGCAATCCAGGGAAAGTGTTGAAGAAAAACGACCTCGATTATTAAAAGCCCTGAAAGAGGTAGGCCATATTTCTTTGCTGACATTGCACCTAAAGAGTAATTTTAAGTGTACTTTTAAGCATTTTTTTTAAATAGGTCTAATTTCTCACTGATTATTAAGGGTCAAGAAATGGTAAAAATCCTACTTAAAGTAAGCAATAATGACATAACAAAATACTATGACTATAATGTCCAGATGTATTCTTATGGGAAGCACCATTTACTTTGAACTCTGAAGGTGGATAAAGAATGACTGCTTTCAGTAAATTATTGGGTTGTCGGAAACGTCATGACACATTTTTGCAGCAAAAAACAGAAAAATACATCATGACTTTTCCGACAACCCAATAGATGAGGACTCTTAAGCAAAACGGACGTAGGTCATAATTAATGGCAATAATTTTCCTTTGTTGTTTGGATTGGAAGATTCTCTGAGTTGAAGCTGCAGCTCCTAGCAGGAGCAGTTTGCATTTTCTTTTATAACAAAACTGTTTTCTCTCCATCTCTTATAATGATAAGAGCTGGGTGTGCTGGCACAGAAAGAGAGAGTGGTTTACTTTCTGATATTCTTTTCCTCTGTATTTTTGATGCCTAAAAGGACTGTGGGAGAAAGATAGACCTATCATGATGGCTATGTCTTCTCTTAGGTATGCTTTTTTTTTTTGAGATCTCAAGAGATAATTTTTTTTCTTTTTAGAATATTTGATCGTATTAATTCTTTTTACCAGTTATAGTCTTTGGTGTTTAACTTCTGATTTGTGAAATAAAAAATTTTCTTTATAGTTCTCCTGTGATGACATTATTTCAGCTTTAGTAAACTTTTGTGTTATCATCACTTTACAGAAAAAAGTTTCTATTGCATTGGGTGATTTTTTTTTTGACCATTATGAGGCTATACAAATAATCATTTTGAAATCATTTTTTATAACACTTCCAAGATTATTAACTATTTTTACAATAATACTTATTGTTATTTAAGTTATACTGAGAAATGGAATATTTATTGATGCAAATTTAAATGCCTATCAGTTTCATCTGTTTCTTTGTAATTAAAATGTTCTTATAAAATCTACAGTCATGCATATTTTCCTTTGTACATAAATGTAGTAAGGTGTGCTATTGTAATGTTTTATTGTAAGTAATAAACATTTTTTTCTCCAACTCCAAAACATTGAAATTTTCCAATTCTTAGTCTATAGACCTTTAGTAATAACACGTTTTTTTAAAGCAAAATATTAAGTAGATATAAGAACTGTTAACTAAGGTGCATTCAGTAATTATTCACATTTCATTTTTCAGCTAGGTGACTTTTATCTAGAACTTCACTGGGATTTTCAAAGCTGGGGTAAGAGTATGCTATGTTTTACTATAAAGTATGTACACATGAAGAATTGCAAGTATAAAAATAAGTATTATATGGAAATTTTAACATAACAAATCTGATAATGGAAAGTTTCTCTTTTCCCCATTTTAAATGTGAGTCCTCTTAGGGTGAAAACCTTCATGTCCAAATAGGAAGTTTGATCCCAGTGACCTTTACTAATTAAACAAAACATTTTTTAATGTAATCTATTATATAGATTTGGATTTATTGAGCTTACATATATTTTTTAAAGCATCTGAATTAATTTTATGATATAAACAATTGAATGCTCAGTGTTATTTATCTCTAAAATAATTCTAAAATTATGCCATGAAATCATAAAAGTAAATTATATATGACAAATATAGAAACTACTGTTAATGTTTCATGCTAATACTTTCAAATACATATAAATGTATGTGTGTATGTGCACACAAATATATATGTGTGTGTGTATATATATATACACACACACATATATATATATACACACACATACATATATATGTATGTATTTATATCCTGAGCATTAGTTGTTTTTTTTTAATGGAATGATAGTATTATATCATTACGCAATTTGTCATTCTTACATAACATATAGGCATCTTACCATATTAGTTCATGAGGAATTATTTCATTTATTTTAACATCTGTACAGAATGGATAATTAAGGTTTTCCTAGTATATTAATCTCTAAATGTAAAGTTTTAACCCCTAAAAAAATCAGTTCTTTCAAAAATAGTTACCACTCTAGCTCATCAGGCCAATTTTGGCTCCATCATAGGCCTCCCTTGAGTTTATGCTTTATATGTCATTCAGAAGTCCTGGTGTACTAGACCACTAAGAAAAAAAGAAGTTTGTGGTAACTCTGTATTATAAAAGAGCTCCAAATCAGATTGCTCTAAAGCCTGAATGTATTTTTTCACCTTTTTTTTTTTTTATCATATGTAGAGACCTCAGTCTTGCTTGGATATTTTAAATGACACTTGTTCCTTGAATATATTGATTATTTAACTGAATTTCTTAGTAATGTTAGTGCTTTAAATTCTAAAATAGTCAATTTATCTTGCTGAGTATAATGTTTTAAAATATTTTAAAAGTGACATTTCAGTTATATAAAGAAATTGAAATGAATGTAGTCACTCCTGAAATTGTACATATGTGTATATCTATAGCTATAGACACATTGTAAATGTTGCATAATCAAATGCATGATGCAACCACTGCGGTGTGATTCCATTTTGTAGATTTTGAAATGGAGGTACAGTGAGCTTAAGTAACCAAGGTCACGTATTTGGGACTCAAACTCACATTAGATTATTTAGTGTTAAAAACATCTCTTTCTGTTATACACATTACTCTCTGCTATTTAATCGTATTATATTTAAAGAATCAGATAGGATTCATGTTCATATAGTTAACCTGTTCAGGAGAATTTAGTTATCATAGGGCATTGATTTCTCATCTACGAGTGTAATAATATCCTGCAATATGTACCCAAGAGTAGCATTATATCAACTCTGCTATTCTTGTATGTGTTGGTGGGGATGGGTGAGTGGGGCGGGGGGAGGTTGGGGGACTGTGGTGAACTATACAGCAAATACAATTAAATAGTAGATATTTGAAATTACTCAAAATTGCTTTGTATATTTTAATTGGGAAAATACTATTTTATTTTTATTTATTTATTTATTTATTTATTAAAGATTTTTACTGGGGAATTGCGGGGAGGAGAACAGACAAGTTGTTGTCTTTTTGTTCTTCAGTCTAGTTGTGGAGGACGTTGCTTCACTGACCCAAGTTGGCACCATCATTGCGCTTTTCCAGGGCAAGGCAGATCAGTCGCCGGCTTCTGGACAGCCGCTCACGTGGCTGCTGGCTGCTCACGCTGGCTGCTGGCTACACACGGTAGCCTATGGCAACCCACTACAGCAGGGGCTGCAGCCTATGCTGTCGCCAGCGACTCACAGCAGCCCAGGTCCAAGTTGAGCTGTTGTTTAGCATCTTAGCTGTGGAGGGCAGTGTCACTGGCCCTCATATGTGGGATCCGAACTGGGGCCCTCTGGCATCCCAAGCCAGCTCTTAACCATCGCGCCACTCGGCCGGCCTGGAAAATAATATTTTAAAGGCATTTATTGCAATGTTGGTGAATTAGTGAAATGTTTACATTGTTCTTCTAATAAAAAAATTATAATGCCTCATAGCTTTAGGTGGTTAATTTGTACCTTTTCTTTTTAAAAACACAGTGCCTTTACTTTCCCGAATTCTGCCTTCTGATGCATGTAAAATATACAAACAAGGTATCAATATCAGGTAAGGTGATTTGATTTTTCTCTGAGTAACAGAAAATTGAGATTTAGAGGAAGCTTTTTTTTCTGTGGTGATAGCCTACATTTGGATAATGTTTTATATACATTTGGATAATGTTTTATAACTTAAACAAGGTTTAGTATATTCACAATATTTTATCTCATTTGAGACATACTACAGTTAAGGAACCAAAGGCATAAAATCTTGACTAAAACAAAGGTATTATTCTTATTCAACTACAGACTATCTAGAAGGCAAACAGAGTGAAGATCATGATGTAATACTAAGAAGAATTAAGATGGTCATCTCCCTGAGCCTGGCTTTTTAAGGACTAAGGGACACATAAGGAAGACATAACTCTTGTCCTTTTCTCTCCATCCCCCTCAAACCTTTCCCTCACCTGTTTACCCATCCACGTATCTATCCATTTTTCTTTTCAATCATTTATCTATTCTAGCGAACTCTGTAAGGCTAATTTTAATTTTTTTTCTGTTTCCTTCAAAAACTAAGACTGATGTTTAGATCTGACGGGAAATCTATTTATTATACTCATTTCAGAATTTTACTTTTATCATTCCTTATATGTTTAGCTTTACATTAATATAGATATATTTATATAAATATAAATATGTTATATTTATATTAATATAGGTATATTTTTATTATATTTATTATAGTAATATAGGTATATTTATAAATTAAGTATATGTAAGCTATATATAATGCAAATATGCCAACTTTTATGTATATATATAGAATATACTAAAGCAGATTTAATATATATAGTTATAAATTTTATATATAAAGTGTTACATATTTATATTTTATACATCTCCAGAATATTAATTTGGATATGTAAGGGTCTAGAACTGGAAATGACTTGAAGATTAACTCATATAAACCATTCATTTTATATGTAGATGAGGAAGTTCAAAGAGGTGAAGTAATTTTTAGAAGAGCATATTGCAGACTAATAGCCGAGTTAGGACCTCTGACTTGCTGTCAGTTCTCACCCTGTCAGAAGGCAGAAATTTTTAAGAATCAACTCTTTATGAAATTCATTATGTAATATGTTGAATTCTAGTGAACGTTTAGTTGGAGGTAATTCTAGGGTAATTATTCTCAAGGAGTAGAATTTGATTAAGGCAGACGTTTCTCAGTTTTTGATTTTTAAAAATAACCTCAGATGTTTTTAGTTATGAAAATGCTCATGCACATTGAATTCGTAGAAACCTTGGAAAATACAGAAAAATATAAAAGAGAAACTAGGAAGGATTTGTTAATGATGCAGATTTAATTCAGCTGCCCACTGTTAGCAATATATTATGGATTCATCGAAAATTATTGATCAACTTAAAAATGTTTAATACAGGCACTTGCTATAAAGGTAGTAGGTAATTTGGGAGAATAGTATTATCTTCCATGTGTTACTTTTAAAAAGGTTAGTTTTATTTTGTTTGACTTTTTAGAAATAGGAAAAAAGGAACAACTTTCTCTTTTAAAAAATTGTTTCACATTTATATGATTTTGGAAGTAAATGACATGATAAATATTATATAGTGAATATAGGTAATAAATAAAACCACAAAATGGTTAAAAGTGACATGAGAATAAGAGCCTAAGGGAGAATAATTGTGCCAGAGAATGTAGGTTAAGGGGAAGAAGCTACTGTAATTTAGCAAGACACTCAAACCTGGGGCTTATTAGCAGCTGAGGATAAAGGAGAAATGGGATAGGTTCTAAAGCTCTCATTACCAAACAAAGTTTACCACATTAATGGAGAGTCTGGATTTTAGGATGTTTGGTAAAGGTTTTTTGCTCAGATGGCAAGAATCAACTTTAAAAAAAAGCTGTTAACATTAAATAAAAACTTTCTAATTTAGATGTCATGAGATAATTATTTTTTTAAAAACATCACTTACACCTGAATGTTAACCTATTTCAGAGGAATCTTTAAAGTTTACTTGTATCTCATGACAGTCTTCTGATCATGTAAAAGATCTTCTCTGGTGTCAAGGAGAAGTTAATAGTTTAGTAGAAAGAGGAAAGTGTGAGTAACTTTATTGTTGGGAATACTAACATAAACATTTTCACTATTAATATGAATAATTTTGAGGTGATCTATTCCCACTGACTGAAATACAAACTTTGCCTCATTTCAGGCTTTTCCTGTCTCAAGAGGAAGCTCTCTTTCCCTTTTCAGTGTTATTTGGCATTTTTCAAGTTTTTATCTCAAAAAAATATTTTCTGTTCAAATCTTTGCATTTATATAAATAAGTTTTTTTCTCGATGGTTCAGTACATGGCAAAAATTAAAAATATTTAGGTTCATAGGCTTAAAGCAAAGGACTAGTTAATATGTTAAAATACCATCATGATAAAAATGATCATTATGTGGCGTGTATGATATTTACCAGGCAATCTGTTATGTCAGGAATATTGCAGAACATGTATTAGATAGTCTTATTTCAGTTGCAAGTTATACAAACACAGATGAAATAAAAATTGACTATGACTGATTTTAGGTGTGGCTAGACCTAGGAACTTAAATGTCACCATGACAGTCTGTCTTTGTCTCTATCGCTGTCTCTCTATCTCTTTTCTCACTATTTCCACCCCTACCACTTGCAGCCCACTACCACTCTCATCCAGGATGGGCGAATGGGATGTAGTGTTTCCTGTTAACTAAAGCTTAGAGTTCAAATAGGCCACTTATATAAAGTGATCTGTTTCTTTCTGTCAGTATCAGTAGCCCACATTTTACAGAAGTAGGGGATGAGTCCCTTTTACTGACATTATTTTCTCTTATGCCATGTGCACAAACAATATCAGGATGTATAGTAGTACAGACACTAGTAGTACAGTAGCAGGCCACTAAAAGTGGGCCAGGAGCTAGAATTTAGGTGTAAAGGAGCAGGCAGGTTCACCTCTACAGGAATTGGTGACTTGCCTTTTTTTCTTTTTTTTTTTTTTTTTTTGCTCTCCTTGATTTCATTCTGAGGGATGTGTATATTTTGTATGGCTCAGAAAATTGCCCCTTATACATAGGGAAATCAGACTTTTCTGGTTCATTGCTGTTGTCCTGGCAAGATTATTAATATTATCTCTTTCACTTTTAAAAGTTACTAGTTTTGATGATGTAACCCTAGTTATTCTTTTGATGCAGCATGTGAGATATATTCCATTTCTCAGCTTTTTCTGTGTAGGGAAACCAGGAATGCCCAATCACTTTGCCTTGTCCACGATGAAAACTGAAAAACCTACCAAGTAATGAATTCATATAGTTGCATTAGAAGCTCAGTAGCCAGGGGGATCCCTCACGAAGACTTAAAGGAGTTTCCTTGGATATGATCAGCATCTCTTAATAAATGTGTCAGCCCATTTTTTAGATTAAGGACGGTGCTTTGAGCAGCCAGTGAGAGAGATCCTGATGTGATCTACAAAGCCTTGTGCACGATTGGAGCACTTCAGGGTACTTGAGAACTTTTCCATTCCAGTATTCTCCCTCATTTCCGCATGTAGTCATCTATTTGAGACCAACTCACTGGGCTAGACCAGGCCAGGTCTTGATTACCAAAGGCAAGAGCACAGTAAACACTTGTGTGTGAATCTATGAGCTTTTGACACAGGAATGATCCATACAATTTTCAGGCCTATGGAGATGCTGGAAACAAGAATGCTAGTCTGAATCTGGGAAGTTAAACAGAAAGGCCAAGAATTTGGAGTAAGTTAATGGGTTATCAAGTGGAAGGATGAAGCCAGTTTTGGTTAGGCATAAGGCATAGATGTAGATCAAAAGACCAAGACTGCACACACAGTCCCAGTCTGGGGGTGTGGTACGGCCATTGCTTTACCCCTCGTATATGCCCTGCGGAGCTAGCAACATGGTCCTAAAGGGATCAGAGAATGTTAGGCAGGCTTCTTTTCCTTTTCTGGCCTTCCCAGTTTAAGTACCTTTCATGGAGTAGCTAGCTACTGTAAGGGAAATGGTAGGGATGAGGGTACATTTAGGGACATACTTCAACAGGGAAACAATGTTTTTGCTGGATTAATGAAGTATATGTTCAGAATAATGGAATACAGTTAAAATGGAGTGTATTTAAATATTCTTTTGGGTTTTTTTTAAAGTAAGATATTTTAAATTTAGCTTTCATCTCTAAATTTGACTTTGAGATGTGGTATTAGCATATTGGTTTGAGTTTAGAAGGAACAAAACTTGTTTAATAATTATGGAGTTTTATTGAAATTTTATTTGTCAGACTTTCTCATCTACCCATTTTTCACAGGCTTGACACTACTCTCATAGACTTTACTGACATGAAGTGCCAACGAGGGGATTTAAGCTTCATTTTCAATGGCGAAGCGGCACCCTCTGAATCTTTTGTAGTATTAGACAATGAACAAAAAGTTTATCAGCGAATACACCATGAGGTGAGCATGTTGCTTTATAAGTATTCCTCTAAGTGGTTTTTAAAAAATGTCTTTGTATGCAACCAGTCCTCAGTGTAATTGTTTTAAAAAGCATAAGGTATAATTGAGATGGTTCAATCCCAAAAATTTCATTTCCTTACTATGAGCTTTTTAAAAATAATTATCACTGGTCTCCATCCTGACCGATCGATCCATTGACTCTGTTTGTTCATAATTCATTGATGATCTCCTGGTTAAATGAACTTCGAGTTCTCTTGTTCTTGTTTGTAATTCTCATTTGTTGAACCTGTGCTGACCTTTTCACCATTTATTATCTTGCTATTTTAGCATCTTTCAAAATGTTGCTGACCATCTCTATCTCCTTAATAAGTACACCTCTTTTGGCTCTCTGTCTGTACTCTTACTTTTCCTCACTCTTTGGCTACCTTTCTTTGCTATTTTCTTTCTTAGCTAATTAACTAAGAAGGAAATTGACTAGAAAATTAACTTCCTCCCTTCACATAAATCCACGTTGGTATCGCCTCTACAGCCATCATGGAAAACTATATTCATCATTATCCTCATCCTTTGTTCCCTGAATGCCCCTTTCTCTATAAGTCAAAGACAGGACTTTTCCAGTATCTCTATATCATTGGTAGCCCTACAAATGTTTTTTAAGTCGACATTTTTTGTCACTGTTGCATTTCTTTTGTTTTTATTTTTTACCACTTCATTCCCCCATATTGTCAATTACCACATCTTGTGGCTCCTTCCTCAACATCTGTTAGATTAGACCTCCCTACTACCATACCTGTTGACGAGACCTTAGTTACCTTGTATAAGTACTATTGAAAAATAGTCCTGACACTCAGTGAAGATTTAGATTGGAAGAGGAGAAGAAAAAAGGCATTCCTTGTGGAGTACACAGATTTGTAAAGTCAGGGAAGTGGGGAATAAGAATGGTCTTTTTTGGAAAACAGAAAAGAGATCTGACTGCAGTGAAGATTTTTCTTACTGAGTGTGGGAACATGGTTTGTGAAAGGCCTCAAAAGCCAGGTAAAATAACTTAGTATCAGCTGTAGTTGGCAACAGAAAGTCATAGATTCTTAAACAAGATATTGATATAATCCAAAAGTATTTTAAGTGAATTAATCTTCTGTATTTCTTTCACTTCCCCCCTTCTCTCCCCCCCTTCCTTCCCTCCCTTCCTCCCCCCCCTCCTCCTCCTCCTCCTCCTCCTCCTACTCTTCCTCCCCCCCCCCGAAAAGTGAAAGAGATTTATTGAAATGAAAGTACACATTTGAGAGGAAAGTGGGGGTGCACTCAGAGATTGAGTCGCCTCTGGCTTCTTTTCTTAAACATTTATCAAGGATCTAACAAATGCTAAACACTGCTAGGTGCTATGGATAGTGATATTGTATTAATAGAGTATATCAGTTGCTATCATATAATAAGCATTGCCAGCATATTGGAACTATAATTTAATTACTTTATAGCTCTGCTCATTAAATCTTTAAAATAACCTCTCAAAGTAAATGGTTTTATAATCTCCATTTTACAGATAAGAAAATTGAGGTTTATGGATATTAAATTACATCTCCAAGATCACATAGCTAGCTACTATGCAAGATGGATTGGAAAAGGAAGAGATTGGAGGCAGGGAAATTCTGTGAGAAACTTAAATTATACAGTTAAGAGGGAAGGAGGATCTTGACGAGGATAGTGTAATGAATGCTGAAGAAATTATGACCTACGTTTCCAAGAATGAAATAATAGAGCTTGCTAACAGATGGAGTGTCGTGAATTAAGAATTGGAAAGATTGAGGGTGTGTGTAGTGATTCTGTCTTGAAGAGTGGAATGAGGTTGGTGCCACTGGTAAAAATGGGGATTGGAAAAGGAAATAGGGTTAGGATTTTGGATGATGTTTATTTTGAGTCCATTGCTACAATCAGTGCACTTGTTTCAACCCTGTCTTTATTAAAATTCTCTGAAGTATTTGCTATTATTGATAACTCAGTTTAAAAAATTTTTATTTCCTGGGGTGGCCGGTTAGCTCAGGTGGTTAGAGCACAAGCTCATGACACCAAGGTTGTCGGTTCGATTCCCACATGGACCAAGGAGCTGCGCCCTCCACAACTAGATTGAAACAACTGTTTGACTTGGAGCTGATGAGTCCTGGAAAGACACACTGTTCCCCAATAAAATTAAAAAAAAAAAAAATTTTTTTTTTCTTTTCCATTTCCTTGTGATTTGACCTGGGCCAGTTGTTCTTTTCCACTCTCTCCTCCTTATTCTCCTTTGCCTGTTCTTTTGAAAAAATTTTTATTAAATTTATTGGGGTGACATTGGTTAGTAAAATTAGAAAGGTTTCAAGTGTACATTTCTATAATACGTGATCCATGTACTGCGTTGTGTGTTCTCCACCCAGAGCCAGTTCTCGTTCTATCCCCATATATTTGACACCCTTTACCTTCTGCCTGTTCCTTTTTCTCTGCTCACCTCTTTAGTATTGTATGCCCCTGATGTGGTTCTCATTTTTAAAAACAGCAGAATAATCTCTTCTATTCCCACAGCTCTAACTACATCCCGCAGGTTGGTGATTCACAAGTATATATTTGTATCCTAGATAGATCTTGAGTGGAGACCTGTCTATTTAAATACCTAATAGATATCATGTATGTCTCATAGGTAACTTCAAAATTTAGCTTGTCTAAAACTCAACTCATTATTTCCTCCCCCCCGCCCCCCCAAACCTGCCCCGTATCCCATTTTCATTATTTTGGTATGATATTATTCTTCAGCCAGAAAACTGGGAGTTATTTTTGACATCTTTTCTTGTACTCCATGTTTCCTAATTAGATAACGTGTGGTCATTTCTGTCTCCCTAATGTCTTATGAGTATCCCTTTTTTATTCATACTGTTAATGCCATAATTTAGATGTTAATTATCTTTCAATTGGACTATCTCAAATCTCATAAATGATTTTTCTTTTCTGCTTCTAAGTTATCCGACATGTTGGAGATAGATTGAACACTGAAAACAAATTCGCAAAACCTGGCTTCTTTAAAGACATTATAAAAGTTCTCTGTTGCCTAAAGAGTGGAATCCAAATTCCTTCACGTGACATGGTTCCCCTGTGACCTGGCTTTTGCTCACTTTGCCAGCTTTTACTTACCTGGCTCTCTTAGATACCCCTGAGACTGACTGCTTTTGCAGATTTTCAGATGGGGGAGGCTATTTAGTGCCTCATTCCTTTGCTCACATTGTTTCTCCTTTCTGGAATGACCTTGCACCCTCACACCTGTGGGGCATCTGCTTAGTGGCACTTCCTCACCTGCCAGGTGACCGTTGTTTTCTTTATGCTTCCGCTAAATCCGTTGCCATAGAGCTTCTACTGCTTTATTTGTTTATATGGCTTTCTTCCTCTGTTGAGCTAACAAACTCAAGGGTGTGGTGTTTTTTTAGTTGTGTTCTCTGGTGCCTAACACAGCATCAGTACATTGTAGGTCAGAGTTTGGTAAACTCATTCTGTAAAGGTAGAGATAGGACATATTTTAGATGTTTAGATATATTTTCAGGCTATGTGGTCTCTGTCACAACTACTCAACTCTGCTGTTCTTAACATAAACGCTGCCATAGACAATATGTACATGAATGATTATAACTATGTTTCAGTAAAACTTGATGAAAACGGGTGGTGGACTGGATTTAGCCTACTGGCCATAGTTACCGACCTTTATTCTAGAATCTCAGATATTTAGTAAATAATTTGACCTCTCCCATATTTCATGACAATGGGATAGCTAACTAGGCAACAACAGATAAGTTTGAAATATGGGACTGAAAGAGAAGCCGGAGGTTAAGGCTAGTGGTGTGTTAGCTGATGTTCTAATATTAATGAGATCACCAAGTGCCCCACAGGTGTGAGGGTGCAAGGTCATTCCAGAAAGGAGAAACAATGTGAGCAAAGGAATGAGGCACTAAATAGCCTCCCCCATCTGAAAATCTGCAAAAGCAGTCAGTCTCAGGGGTATCTAAGAGAGCCAGGTAAGTAAAAGCTGGTAACGTGAGCAAAAGCCAGGTCACAGGGGAACCACGTCACGTGAAGGGATTTGGACTCCACTCTTTAGGCAACAGAGAAGTTTTTTTTTGTTTTTTTTTTTAAGATTTTATTGGGGAATTGGGGGAAGGGGAACAGACAAGTTGCTGTCCTTTTGTTCTTCAGTCTAGTTGTGGAGGATGTCGCTTCACTGGCCCAAGTTGGCACCATCATTGCGCTCTTCCCGGGCGAGGCAGATCAGTCGCCGGCTTCTGGACGGCTGCTCACTGCGGCTGCTGGCCGCTCACACTGGCTGTTGGCTATACACGGTAGCCCATGGCAACCCACTGCAGCAGGGGCTACAGCCTATGCCGTTGCTGGCAGGCGCGGGCAACTCACTGCAGCCCAGCTCCAGGTTGAGCTGTTGTTCAGCATCTTAGCTGTAGGGGGCAGTGTCACTGGCCCTCATATGTGGGATCCGAACCGGGGCCCTCTGGCACCCCAAGCCAGTTCTTAACCATCGCGCCACTCGGCCGGCCCAACAGAGAACTTTTATAATGTCTTTAAAGAAGCCAGGTTTTGCTGTGCGTATTTTATCCCTAAAAAATTACAGGCAAGCTAGATTTTAAGCAATAATCCTCAAGTCAGGGAATACCTGTTTATTCTAATATGCATACATAGGTAATAACTGTTCAATAAATGTTTGTTGAATGGATGTAATTAACAACAGGTCTTTTTCAGTGATGCAGTTAGGAGATGCGCTGTCTATGATTTGTAGAAGAGTTCTGTTCCGAAAGTTTATTTGAAAATAGGGTGTTTGGAACTTAAGGCAAATTTCTTCAGACAGTGTTATGTGTAGTGTTGTTCTCAAGCTACTACATACCATTTTAATTGATTTGTAATATTTTTGAAGCATATTGTCTAACAGTTCTGTACAGGCTATGCAAGCCCAAATTTTTCTTTAGAAAATTTTGTTCAGAATTAGTTTTGGTTACCAGGAATACATTTCATCTAGCATTAATGTCAAGATTTTCTATTCCACGCTTGGAAGGTGAGGAAAATGGTATCATCCCAGTCCCAATGTACTACTGTTTTTAGGGGTTTTTTCCCTGACGATTGATAGATTAAGAAATGGACTATATATGGGTGAAAGTTTGGTGATGAAGAATAGAAAAGGGCTCTGTTGGGAATATGGAAATCAGGATGTATGAGAAATAGATCTCTAGTCTTTGTAAGCGCTGTAGACGGTTCTCATTCCCCAGACAGCTCTCTATTCTGCCTTTTTTTTCCTGCCTTTTTTTCCTTCAGGTGCTGTGGTTCGAGGCATCAGAGTCTCTCTTGGTCTGTTAAACGATAGACTCTCATCTTACACCTATTCACTTACCCTTCTGTACCTCATCACTTAGCCTTCTCTCCCTGAAGCAAGCACAAAGCTTTCTTTTTCCTCATTGAAAAAATAATTATTAATTTATTATATGCTGGCACTGGAGAATACACAGAATAAAACTCGAAGCAAGGCTACTTACTAAGTTTTAAAATTTTAGGTTGATATTTTTGAATTTCTATAAGAAATATGAGAAAATCCCTTCTGGACTCCTTTCCTTTCTTTCTTTCCTTCCGTCCTTCCTTCTCCCTCCCTCTGTCTCTCTCCCTCCTTCTCTCTTTCTCTCTTTCCCTTCTTCTCTTCTTTCCTTCCACTTAGAATTATTGGGAAAGAAAGGCTCAAATGATAGTGGAGGGTCTTTGGATTAGAAAGAACTAAAGTAAGATTCATCTATAGTTAAAGAAAACAAAATCTTTATATGGGCGTTTTGTCTGACTTATCAACTTCAGTATTTAAGTAATCTTTAAAAATTGCTCTACGTACTCTATCTATATTTCTGTAATGGGTTATCTAGTATTGTTTCTGTTGCATGTCTGTAACAGTGTAAGAGTGCTATATTTCATGTGTTTTGGATTTATAGATCACAATTAGTCATAATTCTGATTTATTTAGATGTATGTAGTTTAAAGTGTAAGTGTTGTTAGAATATGTAAAACTTCACATTTCTTAGAATCTGTTCTTTTTGTTTTTTGAAATTCATAATTTTGTTATTTTTGTATGTCATACTAATAACCTTTGAAAACCTGGATTTTTAAGTTTAACTTTTGCTCCCTCCCCAGGAATCAGAGATGGAAACAGAAGAAGAGGTTGACATTTTAATGAGTAGTGATATTTACTCTGCAACTTTATCAACCAAATCAATTTCTTTCACACGTGCCCAAACAGGATGGCTTTTTCGGGAAGATAAAACAGTATGTGCAAATCTAGATTTTTAAACTTTAAAAATAGTTCAGCATTTAATATTGCCAAAATAATGTGAGTGATGGAAATGCAGGAAGAAGTAACTTATTGAATTGTCTTCACGTAGTTTATTCTCTCCTCATTGAATCCAGATGGAATTATAATGGGTGGTTATAGAGTTGGAAAATATTATTTCAGAAGCCAGGAGAGAAAGTTTAGCTCATTTGAATTCTATATTGGGAAGGACTCTTGTTGTCAGCTGCCGTGTTATTATATAAGGAACTGTCTTCACATGGTTCTATCTTATTGTTAATGGTTTATTCCTTAAGAAGACCACAAAGAAGGAAACACTTTTGAATTTATTTCCCTGGACCTTTTTCCTTTCTACTTTTAGGCTTTTAAACTATTTACTTATTCAGTATCTGTTTCATAGTATTCCATATATATGACTAAAATTAAATATGCTTATTACATTTCTACAACACTGTCATTCAATTAAATCTCAGTGGAGGTTTCCCCTTTGTGAATTGTAAATTTTTTCCGTAATTACCATAGCATCTGTCAGCAAGAAGTTATATAAGACTGTTCAAACTATATTCAGAAATTTTTAATTAGACATATTAAAAAGCATTTTGTATAATTTTAAAGTCAAGAATAAGTAACCACATCAGGTAAGGGCCAGGATTTACTGATACTAAAAATTATTTTTATTTTCATTACACACAGTAAAAATGAATATATTCTCATTGGAAAAAGAAAAACAGCCTGTATTAGTCAGGGTTGTCTGTGATACAAAATCCATCTGTTTCTCTCTCTCCCCGCCTCCCCCCACATGTTATGTGTATATGTATATATAGATATATAGGTAGATGTATAGATACACAGAGAGGAGAGAGAGGCAGGGAGAGATTGATTTATTTTAAGGAATTGGCTCATGTGAATGTAGGAACTGGCCAGTCTGAAAGTTGCAGAGCAGCCCGATAGCCTGGAAACTCAGGCAGAGTTTCTGTGTTGAGGCAGAATTGGTTTTCCTTTGGAAAACAGTCTTTGCTCTTGGGGCCTGCAGTTGATTGGAAGAGGCCTAACCACATTATGGAGGGTAATCTGCTTTATTACAAGTCTCCTGATTTAAACTAATCACATCTAAAAAAGACCTTCACTGCAACATTTTGACTGATGTTTGGCCAAACGATTGGCCACCGTAGTCTAGCCAAGTTGACGTAAAATTAACGACCACACAACCTTGCACATAAAACTAAAAAGTCCCCCTTGACCACTGCTCACAATTCCAGAGTACTTTGCAGAAGGTTTTCCATTTTGTAGATTCTCCAGACCTTTTTTAAAGCTTTCCATAAATATGTATCCATGGTAATATGTAGCTTTAGTTGTTGGTGTTTGTTTATGAAGTGTAATATCTGTTGTTTTGCAACTGTTTTTATTTCACTCTTTAGTATGTTTTAGAAGCTCTTTTTCTTATTAGTAGTGCTGCTGCATTCTTCTTAACGACTGTATAGGATTCCATAGTATGGATATATTATAATATATTTATCCAGTCTCTTATTTTTAGGCATTTAGATGAATGGACACACATTTGTGTCCAGTTTTCTGCTATTATAAATGATGTTGCGTTGACCATTTTTTTACATGCCTCTGCAGTGTCTTTTATAGATAGCAAGAAATGGAATGCCAAGATTATGAGAAATATACAGTTAAATTTTTTATTGTTATGGTGATTTACTTTTAATAAGTGCTTTTTCACTATAAGATTTCAAAAACTGGTGATTTTTGAATCGGAGTATTTCCCAACCACAGAAAACCCTCACTATGACATCTAGGCTCATCGACTTTCCACTCTAAGCTTATTTAACAACGAACAGCATTATAGGATTCCTAGTTGTGAAATCCTACACTGCCATCCATTTGTTGGCTTCAAGTTTTATTTGTTTGTACTCTGTTCTTCTGGACAGCATTAGAAGGATCACTTCAAGAGAAGATAAAAATTGAGGCTGCTATTCATCTAGTGCTACTGCTAAGCAGCTAAAAGCTCTTGAACAGCATCTAGGTGATCTTAAATCTTTGACAGATAGGGAGGGAGTCAGTAATGCTTATGGTTCCCATTTTGTAGGGAGAGACAGGTGCAGAGTGCTTTGCTTTCTGGTGACAAGGTGGCCACCAGAAGCAAGGTGGACAGGGAAACAACTTTAAACACATAGTTTTGGAATGCCAGAAAACAGCAGGAAGATGGAGACCAAGCGATTTGCAAGCAGGTAGAAATGGGAAGCTTGTTTTCAGTAAGTTACTGGTCATGTTTTTTGAAGTAAGGTAGTTCAAACTCTGACCACTCGTGGGTCTGAAAACAGTGAAGGTTGATGTTGAAGGAGGACTTTATCGAAAGGAAATACCAGCTCTTTTCTTGATGTGCTTTATACCTCCTGAGTTTCCCTGTCCCCAATTTATAATATAAACACTTCATTGTATTGGTGAGCAAGACGACTCTGTTGTTCTCTTGGTTGAAAGCAGCAAGCAAGTGTAACTTGGAAGTTTGACCCTGTTAGAGAATAGAGTATTGGAGCAGGTAATTGATTCGAGCTGTACTAGAGATTCCTTTGTGACTTAGACTATTTCTTTTTATTCCACTTTCTTTTCTATCTATAAAATGGGAACAGTCATTATTCCTGACCCCTCCTTATTAGTCATGATGTTTGACTCTCAGTTAAATAAAGTTTTCAGCTAGCTTTGTGCTACTTGGGAGCAGATTCTAAAGGATACTGTGTGGTATTTTTATTTAGATTTCATTCATTTGCAGATTAATGGCCATACATCTTGTGCATTTAAAATTTTTCTTTACAAATTTGAAATGTGTAATTTTATATATAGTTTAACTTAATAGGATGTATAAGATAATTTGATACTTTCAAGTACCAAAGTAATATTTATTTTCACTGTAATGTTACATGTTTATGGAAAAACATGTGTATGTATATTACTTTGAAGCTTTCTTTTAATCTAAGGCAAACTTAATTTCTTTTATTATTCTGAAATATTTGATTTTATTTTAGGAAAGAGTAGGAAACTTTTTGGCAGACTTTTATCTGGTGAATGGACTTGTTTTAGAATCAAGAAAAAGAAGAGAACATCTCAGTGAAGAAGATATTCTTCGTAATAAGGCCATTATGGAGAGCTTGAGTAAAGGTGGAAACATAATGGAACAGAATTTTGAGGTATAATTTTCACTTCTCATTTGTAATGTTCTAAGGAAAGAGAGGGTAAACTTCATTCCTAGCATCTAGTGAGTTTATATAAGTATACTCATAGGTTTTGTTTACTACATACGTCTTTTGTTTTTCTTTGATATGGCCTTTGGCCGTGTGTGTGTGTGTGTGTGTGTGTGTGTGTATCTGTCCTTGGTCTTGAGTCTTCATTAACAAATAGATTAAATCATTTTTTAAGGTGAAAACCAGTGTTAATTTTTAATCCATGTCCTTTTGCGTACATTCTTTTTTCTACTTCACCAACTGAAATCATCTGCTGCTTTGAAGGCCCAGTTAAAGGTCTCCTTACTTTATGAAGTAATTTATAGCCTATACCATCCCATAAATTTTAATTCAGCTTGTGTTTATTGAAAGCATGTTATATGCAAAGAATTATGTGACAGTAGGAAAAGGGGGTGGGGGAAATTTGGAAATATGCCAAATGAGACATTAACTGCCTCTGCAAGCTTATTCCTTAATAAGATGAATTGGATGGGTTCTTAAATTTATTTTTTATTTTGACAATTTTCGACTTACAAAAAAGTACCACAATAATACAAAGAATTTCTGGATACCCTTTGTCAGAATTCCACAAATGTTAAAATTGTACTAAATTTTAAAACTGTTTTTCAAATTGCAGGATAGGGACCTCTTAGTAGATTATGAAATCAATTTAGTGGGTTATGACCACCCTTTAAGAAAAAAAATAGAGTCTAATAAAGATAATAGAGAAAAAACAGAGCACATCACACAGAGTATGGCTTCTTATAATGTTATGAAACACTAGTTAAGGGATGTATGTGTTGTATGACTATTCATGTGAGTGTTGGGTTGTGGTATAAAATGTGAGTCACAATTGTAAAAAGATTAAAAGCTATTATGAGTAGGCTTGAATTCCTTGAATGTTTAGTTTCTCCCCTATGGTATTGTGCCAGATTATGTTGTAGGGATAGACAGATTTTTCAGAATAGTATGCCAGGTTCCAACGAATTTATGGCAATACGTGTGTGCCAAGAAAATACTTTGATGTTTAGAAAGTTCATGTATTGAATGAATCAGCCATAGTTTAGTTACGTAAGTACAGGATGCAAAGTGTTTAAGAATCCCCATTAAATGTTTAAGTTAAAATTGTGATCATACCTGTTTAGTGTGATTCTGTTCCCTGCCAGATCCTCTTTGCACTTACCATTTTTCTTTTCACTTTGGGGTAGAATAAAGCTTCACCAGACTTTAATTTTCAGAACCTCCTAGTATTTACTGATATCTTGATGACATGATATGCTCAGAAAGAGAACTGGAGATGAATTGAGAGAGGAAATGCTGAGCTCAATCTTTGACACAGCTGCTACCCTCTCCCAGTGTTGACCAGACACAAAGCCCATTTCTTTGGATTTGTATTGTGATTTAAATTTTATTAGAGTTCTTTTTAAAAAATGATTTTGTTGTGGGTGGTGGTTATTGCTACCTTTGTTTAATTTTGGCAGCAAACCATTTTGGGATGAGTACATGGGTGTTGCCACCTTTGTTTAATTTTGCAGCAGACTATTTTGAGAATGAGTACATGGAAACAAAACTTGATAGAATAGCATTTCATGAACCATTTGCCAGTTGTCTCTGATTGTCTGATTTATCTATATTTAAACTTAACAGTACACAAGTTAATTTTCTTTAGGGCAGAGATTATAACTTGATGCATTTAAATTGTTAAAATGGTCTTTAAATGGCATTTTAATAAGATACCATTTTGCACATTGAAATTAAAAATGTTTAATTTCAGATGTCTATTTAATAGAACAAAATAATATGAATTAAATAATGAAGCTTTCGACTTCTGATCAGAAATCAAAGGAAACAGTTCCTATGTGAATCATAGCCCCTTGAGCTTTACAGTTTTTGATAAATATTTAATTCAACTTGTCAGTTTCTACAAAATATAAAAATCTTGGTGGGTTTTTGATTAGTATGGTGTTCAATCTATAGATCAATCAATTTCTGCCAAAAAAACAGCTTGATTTTTGTTTATTCAACTCTTTATTTTGTGATAACTATAGGTTCAAATACATAGTTGTAAGAAATAATATAGAGAGGTTCCATGTAGGCCTCACATCTTGTGAAACTGGGATATAATATAACAACCCAGGATATTAGCATTTAGTCAAGATCCTGAACATTCCCATCACCACAGGATCCCTCCTGTTTCTCTTTTATAAGCACACCTACTGCCCTTTTGCCCCCTCTCTTCTCTTACCCCTGACAACCACTAATCTGTTCTTTCATTTCTTTAATTTTGTCATTTCAAGGATATTGTATATGATAACCTTTTGCGATTGGCTTTTGATTCACTCAGGTTAATTCCCTGGTTATTTATTCGCGTTGTTATGTATATGAATTGTTTATTCCTTTTATTGCTGTGTAGTATTTCCATGTTGCAAATGTACCTAGTTTGTTAACCATTCTGTTGTTGAAAGACATTTGGGTTGTTTCCAGTTTTTGGCCATTATGAATAAATCTACATTCACATATAGATTTTTGTGGGAGCATAGGTCTTCATTTCTCTGGGATAAATGCTGTCTTTGGAAATGCACAAAGCTGGCTATGTGAGTGTGTGCTCAAGGGGTACATGAGCAGGGGGGACCCATGGGGCTGGGCCCTGGGACCCTGTGTACCCCACTGCCCTGGTGACTGGGGAGGTCAGTTCATTGCCCTTTGTGCATTGTCCATACCTGTCTCTGGAATGCCCATCCCCAGATCCTGTCCTTGCTCTGATCCATTCAGAGCTACCTCTCTAATAGAGTTCATATCCTTAAAAAAAAATGTTGCCTCTGCCAGGTCTAAGTACAGCTAAGAGTGTAGTTGCTGGGTTGTGCGGTAGCTGAATGTTTAGTTTTGTAAGAAACTGCCAAAATGCTTTCCATTTTATATTCCTACCAGCAGTATATGAGTGATTGTTTCACTGCATCCTAGCCAGCGTTTGGTATTTTTGCAATTTTTTATTTTACCCATTTTGATAGTGTCTTAGTCAGCTTGGGATGCCATAAGAAAATACCATAGACTGGATTGCTTAAATAATAGGAATTTATTTCTCACAGTTCTGGAGACTGGGAAATCTAAGGTCACGGTGCAGGCCTATTCGCTTCCCAGAGGAGGGCTTTTTTACAGGCTTAAAGATGGCTGCCTTCTCACTATGTCCTCACATTGGGGGAGTGTTCTGGTCTCTCTTCCTCATTCTGTAAACTAGTCCCATCATGGGGGCTCCACTTTTATGACCTCATATAAGCCTAATTACCTCCTGAAGGCCCCACCTCCAAACACTATCACGTTGGAAGGTTAGGGCTTCAACACGTGAATTTTGGAATGACACAAACATCAGTTCATAAAAGGTAGTGTATAATGCTGCTGTCTCATTGTGGTTTTATTGCATTTTTCTAATGGCTAATGGTGTTGAATGCTCATCTTTTCATGTGCTTGTTTGCCATCTCTATATCCTCTTAGATGAAATGTCTCTTCATGTCCTTTGCCCATTTTCTAACTGGATTTCTTTTTTGTCAAGTTTTCAAAGTTTTTTATATATTCTAGATATTAGTTTTTTGTCAGATATGTGTTTTGCACATGTTTTTCTGCCACTTTGTAGTTTGTCTTTTTCATACTATTAAACTTTTTTTTTTTTTGGCAGAGGAAATGTTTTTAATTTTAATGAAGTCCAATTTATCAATTTTTGATTTATGGCTTATGCTAAGTGTAAGAACTCTCTGCATAGCTCCAGGTTCCTAAGATTTTCTCCTATATTTTTTACGTCATCTCATACCTTTATATTTATTTTAATTTATGAACCAGTTAATTTTGTGTAAGTTGTGCTGTTTAAGTCAAGGTTTATTTTTTTTGCCTTGGATGTCCAGTTGATCTAGCACCATTTTTTTTTTTTTTTTTTTTTTAGCTGAGCCATCCTGCCACCTGTTGGCAGCTCAGCGGCTGCTCAGCGCGGGCCAGGACTCAAACTGCTGTTGCTCAGAGCTCAAACTCTTGAGCGAGCTCTTAACCAACTGAGCCACTAGGCCGGCCCTGGCATTTTGTATTTTTAATGCCGTCATCAACAATGTTTTTAATTTCATTTCCAATTGTTCATTGCTAATATATAGAAATACATGTGGTTTTTCTATATTGCTAAATTAATATATTATATAGTTTTTTTATAGCTTCCTTAGGATTTTATACAGATGATTATGTTATCAAGTAATAGAGATAGTTTTACCATTTCTTTGCCAATCTCTGTGCCTCTTATTTACTCTTTTGTTTATTCTGTGTCTTAGTGCACTGTATAATATTGAATAAAAGTGCTAAGAGCAGGTGCTATGCCTTTTTCCTGATGTTAGAAGGGATTTTTTTAATACTTATGTTAATATGAAAAACTCATTATATTATTTTTAATCTGGCATAAGTAATTTATTAAGAATTACAAAAAGCCATGGCTTTTTTCTTCCTGTATTGTTGTTAGCTCTGTAATCCTTTTAAGATTATATTTTAATTATTTAAGTATAAAGAAAATATATCTCATATATTATTTGGACTTTTGATAGGGAAGAACTAATGAATTACATTTGAGAATCATTTTGGAGCTCAATTATAAATAGAAAAAAAGAAAATATTGTTTCTATCAGATATTCATCTATACATGTGATTTGATTTGGTTGAACCTGGCAAGGTGCAGGATGCGGGAACAGCAATACAGAATTGATGTCGAATTATAAAAAAGACATATAGCTCTCCTTTTTTTTTTTTTTCCTCCTAGACAAGAATTTACCAATATATGGAAAGCAGCATGAACCTGATACTGGTTTAATTATATATGACAGTGGACATTAAAGTAGAAAAGAAATATTTGTATGCATTTTGTAGATAATTTTGAGAATAGAGGTTTTTTTTAACCTACATAATAACTTTTTAAGGAAAGGAACATATAAATTAACATAGTT